GAGTAAGTGGAAGGGGAGGCTGAAAAGTTGCATTACTGATTCTGTAGGGGACAAAAGAGGAATGGATGTGTGGGACTGCAGACAGTAATAGTTAAGCATCCAAGGAAACTGAATTGGATTTAGAATCTTGAAACTTAGCATTGCAGGAAGTGACGTTTCTTTAGCTTGATGGGTTGGGTTTTTTTTCCATTTCATAAAGTGCTTTGAATTTAAGGAAATGTTATGGGAGAATTCTTGGTATTTCTTCAACATGTGTAATTAGTGCACCACAGGAACAGTCTTTTCACACAGAAAATGATATTTTTCTGTAGAAACAGATGCAAAATGTTTTATTTCCACTTTCTTGGCGAAAAGAAAGGTGGTGATGTTTCAAATAACTACTGTTTCTCAGTCGCAAGGCTTCTCTCAAAGGTAGTCAGCCTTTCCTGCTGCTCTTCCTTTAGTGTGGTATTTTGATTTTTACCATTTGCTGAGTAATTATTATGAAAGGACATTGGTAAAAATACCTCTTCTCAGATACTAAAAAAGTAAGTCTTAAAATAACAGTTACTGACTCAAGTGCCCTACATAGATGTTGGTATTTTAATAAGCAGAAAAGAGTACAGCAAAATTTGAGTTTAATCCGTTTCTTGCAGTGGGGGGTTAAATCCTTATACTGAAGATTAATAGGAGGTTGCTGACTGTAAAAGTTACAAAAGCTGTGCACTGTACCAAATGTCAGCTCCATCCTATTGTAACTAATCATGGCTGGCTTTGACTAAAGCTCAGGGAAGAGATATTTTGAGTAAATTTGTGTTTTCTAAGGGCTTGTTCAGTGATCTTCTCTTCTATTTGTACTTCACAGTTCTTGAGATAAAAACAGAGTATTAACTTTCATGGTGGAAACTTAAAAGCAGTTTCTTTAAGTGTTATTTAAATTATGGAACTTGAGGTTGCTTGTGTGTAGTCCCCTGCTCATTAGCTTTTTTTATTTTGAATTACAGAATGTATTGTTATTGATGCATGGACATACAAATGTGATAATGCCATATTGGAGTCCTTTCCAACAGGTTTTCCCAGGATGGGATCTCTGACCTTTCTGAGTGTCTCACAGTTGAAGGATATGCTTCACATAGTGTTTAAGTAACTTTCAGATAAAATTCATGGTTTCATGTTAAAAGGTTTTCTGTCAGCCTTGCAAATTGAAGTGGCTGGAATATGTAGCATTTTTTTTACAGTGTTAGTAATATTGTTAGTAATATATTTTTTGTTCAGTGAGGTTTCACAGAAGTAACTGAGAACAGAATTTGTTCCTGCAGGAATTTAATGTTGCTTTGGAACCAGACCTCACTGTTCTCTTACTTGGTGTGTTGAGTCTGCAGAGTTAACAAGAATAGAGAGTAGTGCAGGTCTTTTGTTTGTTACATTAAGGTAATTGGATAAGGCATGAGCAGAACTAATTATCATGAGTGTGCTATTTCTGAGCACTAAAACTCTTCAAGGCAGGAATGCATTGCAATTTCTTGGTCCTAGTTTTCCATCCAGAGCATAAGAAGGTCTTGTTTTGAAATTTCTATAGCCAATTGCTTACATTTACATTACTAACCCTTGGTGAAGTGATCATAGGTAAAATGAAACAATACTATAAATAGAAAAGGTTTCTTTGAATATAGAAAAGAAGTTTCTGATTGGCATTTGATGGTTAAAATGTAAACCTGTAAAAGCTTATGAGGTTATCTGTCCTCCCCAAGTCTAAAACAGAATCTGTAAAGAGTTTTGAATATTTTCACTATTTTCTTTCTTCTCTTTAATGGAAATGTATTGCCCTCATTTTCATGATACCCTCTGTAGCTCTGTGTTCATTTAAAAAACCCATGTACCCAACAAGAAGGTGAGCTGTTAATGTTACCTCTTCTGTCTTTTAAAAGGAAGGTGCTTCTGCTCAAAAAAAACAAACTCCAGCAGCACAGCCTGTACCACGACCAGGTAAGGTGGCCTACTATCATTTGTGCTTCTGTTCCAAATAAGTTTGAGTTTCAAAGAAGTATTATTTAAAACTTTAGTTACATGAAGAATGAAGTGGGGATCATTTATTTGTGGCCTTTAACTGCATATGTATTGGAAATAACTCATAACTTTTTGGTTAATGTCGCACCGTGGGGCTTGGGTTCATTCTCTTCAGTGTGTTGCCCAGTTAGTCCATTGAAAGGATGTGCTAGTGAAATTAAAAAGTGACGAACTTCTTGGTTGTCAGCGTGGTACTTCACAAATGCCAGCTCAAATATATAATAGGAGCTGGTTAATACTCCAAGGAGAAACAACCTAAATAGAAAAGCTAATCTCAAAAAGAGATATATTATTACTTCTATTATTAATATATCAGAAATAAGTCTTTCTCAGAATGTGATATTACTTCTTCACACTTCTTAGCACGTAAGGTATTTGTAATGGGGCCAGAATCCTCAACTGGCTTTTTAATTCCCAGTTAGTAGACTTTAGCTACCAAGTCCATTTTGTATGTCAGATTGAATCTCAAATTGAGATTCAAAGATAGAATGATATAAGTACTTTGTTTTGGTTTAATGAGAAACCCTTAGAAAGAGTTTTTAAGAGAGTGTAAGCGTACAGACAGTATATGAGAGGATCAGTGTTTCCAAACAGCTATGTGCATATCTGCACCTAGTTTACATACTATGAGAATTTCTGGTTTGGTGGAAGAAAGTCTCGAGTGAAAGGTGTTTATTTAAGAACAAGATGATGGTTATTGTTGTTGTTATGAAGGTATTGGAAAGGGAATGTTTTGGGGTTTTTTGGAAACAAAGCCACCTTTTAAAATGAATATACTTTTTCTAGAATTACTGTGTACTTACTTGTTGAGACTACTAAATGCTTTCAATGCGTGCCTTGCTAATTCCTTGAGATTTATTAGTAGAATTTAATGCTAAGACTTAATATCGTAAAAATGATTCTTCCTCAAAAATCTATTCTAATATTGAATATTCTCAGCATACCTAAATGCCGTCGTGCACAGATTCTTCTGTTTGGTTATTTTGGTACTAGAAAGGTCATGCTGGCTGTCATACTTATCTCACTAGCCCAGTTAAGCATAATAATGCAAATGGAGTTGACAGACAGCAGTATGAAAAGGGTAGAAGTGGCAAGAGCAGAAATCTGACTGAGTTGTCACAGGTCCCTACTGCTAGCTGTGACTTCATGGGCATTAACTGGCAGAAGTGTATTTTTTGTACATTATACAGGTTATACTGATATTGCCCTTCTCTAAGGCCAGTCTAATCCATTATCTTGCCTCTATATTGTAAGTTGAAGAGAGAATAAAGAAGAGAGGTATAGTCAGAAGAAAGTATTAAAAAAAAAAAGATTTATCTTTCTGCCTGTTTTAGGATATCGTAGGGTTTGGAACTTTTAAAAAATCAGTTCTGTTCTTAGCAGTCAAAGTATTTAAAACGTGTAATTTCCAGGAGGATGCTGCTTTGCACATAAGAAGTGTTAGTTGAATTGGGCAAAACAGTTGTACAATACTGATTTGAAAAAATATCTCAGTTATGCTTTTAATTTAAGATTTTTTTTCTGCACCTTTCCGCAGAACCTGCTTTTCTACTAGCCTGTCTTGGTACAGCTATCAAATTTCTTACAGATGCTTCCCCCACCCCCTTTTTTTTTTTTTTTTTTTTTTTTTAGGTCAGCTGAGACTGCCCATATATTTCAGGAACTTTTTTACATTAAGGAGATACCTAGATTTAAAAAAAAAAAATAAAATCATTGAGTGGGTAAAGTTCATGTAGTTCAATATAGTGTCGCCAATTATATCTGTGCATTTGACAGTGACAGGAAAAGATAATTAAGGATATGGTCTCAATATTTCAACAATGGCAACTATGTGTTGTGAATATTTATACTGTTCTAGGCAGTTTCTGAAACAGTTGGTTGTAAATAAACATGAGCAAGTTGGTACTATGAAATTGGAAGTCAATTAATGAAATTTGTCATGCATAGTAGCAGTTGAGACTTGAGTTAGTCTGCATCAATCTTTCTACTACTCACCATTTTCTGATTTTTTGTGAATTAGGATAAACACATATAATGATAATTATCAAGCACAACAGTTCGTTCTTTAAGTTAGGACTCATGAAAACTGAACTATAAAATGTTTATTTGGAGGAAGCCAGGTTTTTCAGTAATAGCACCAAAGTGAAGAAACATATATGCTTTTCCATCTTTGGACTGATGTATCTCCCATATTGAGGAGGTCATAACTTGGAAGACTGAAGTGGAAACATTGGGGGGGGGGTGGGAATTCTTTGGTTTCTATCTGGCCAGTATTGTTTGTGTGGTTTTTTTGTTTGGTGGTTTGGGGGTTTTTTTGTTGGTTTCTTGTTTTGGGGTTTTTTGTCGTGTTTTTTTTTGCTTGACTGCTACCATATCTGTCAAGTTTCATTGTTTCTGGCACCCAAAGAGCTCATGTAAGTCAAACTGCAATCCGAAATTAACTTGAGTAAGCCTGAAATTTAGATTTTGACTGTTGAAAGTTCTATTTGTGTTAAGGATAGCTAAATCTTAGAGGTATCAAGTACAATAATAACTACTAATGAAAAGGTGAGGGTCTGTAAAGATTAGGTTGTTGTGAAACAGTCTTCCTGTTGGTTCAGCACTATTGAACTTAAGATCTACAAGCAGCTTTTTTCAAGATTGCTGGCAATTTTTGTCAATGCTATAGTGCCCCAACCTTTTGAGGAGGATGTAGAGGGATGACTCGTTTCAGTAAAATTAGGAGAGATTGACTCAACTGTCCTAACATCCCTTTCAGATGCTCAAAAGCTGTTTGTCTTCTAAATACTGAGACCCAAATTATAAATCCGTTCTTCAACTGTGTATTGCATCTGTGAAAATGATCTAATGGCTATAATGTGACTCTTCTCTGTTCACTCCTGCAACTTGTTGCCTTACAATGACATTTGTATTTATCTATTAGTCATTCTGCCATATTTTCTGTTTTTTCTCAGTTTCTCAAGCAAGACCACCTCCAAACCAGAAAAAAGGTGAGTCAACTGTAGTTACACGAGCCTTTTCACTCTACCTTTTGCTGGAACCACAAGCAACAATATAAACAAGCAGTGGACTGCAGACAGCATTCTGTTTTGCTAAATATGGGTCCTACCATATTTAGAGACTCCTGATACAGGGGTATGCTTTTTTTTTTTGGTGAATGAAAACCTTCGGTTTAGGAAAGATTTACTACAATTTTCTTTGAATACTTTTCCATTATTTTGATCTGTTAAGCAAGAGTTTTGTTTTTATGTACAGTTCCTTTAATAAAAAAAGGGGGGGGGGACCCAACAAAAACCACAACGAAAGAAAAAACCAGGCAAATGTAACTTTATTATCTCTACAGGATCTCGAACTCCCATAATCATTATTCCAGCAGCTACGACCTCTTTAATAACGATGCTTAATGCAAAGGACCTTCTGCAAGATCTGAAGTAAGTAGCTGATTAGAACATATTGTATAAAAAACTGTTTTCAGATATAAAGGTATACTAGTACCAAACTAGTAATTAAGCAAGAGGGAGTATTTACTGTCTCGTGACAAGCTAGTTTTAAAGACCAGAGTGTAAAAGAAATTAATGCCTCTTGAAAAAGCAAAAACTTTATTTTCAGAGTTTTTTCCAGTTGTGACCTGTGGGCCAAATGGGCAGATTGAGAAGGAAGTCTTACAGTACCATTTCTAATGACTATAGTGGTTTTCTTTTACGTAACATATATGCACACATGTGCCACCGATCAACGAGCCCTTACAATGGAAGAAGGCTTAGAGAAGATGAGCAAGTGCAATGTGCTTACGGAGCTCAGAAAAGATTTCAGGAAATGACCACGGTTATTGTAAAGGAGAAGGGGACCGGAGGGTGGCCTCTGTTTTAGATAAACGGCTGTATCAGCTGAGCAGGTCAGCTGGTTGTGTAAATAAAGAAGTTTTTTAAAGTTTACATACAACAAAAATAAGAATAAAGCATTGTCATTAAGTATTGATGCAAATTCATTCAGGGAAATATTAATGAGTTGCTAAAATTTGTTTATGGCATTACGCATCTGATTCTAAGATTTAATTCATTATGGCTGAATGCAATCAATACTGCAAATTACTTTCTGGTAAGGTAAAATTCACTATTATAGTTAATTTATAATTTAAAAAAAACCCCAACCCCCCCCCCCAAACCCCACATCTTTCTGCTTGTCCAACAGATTATGGTATTTAGAGTTGCCTATCTGTTAATACCAGTTCATTTTTCTGAAACGGGCAGTCATTTTCACAGGGAAAACCATTGCGGACAATCTGTAGCAGTGTAACGTTCAAAAAATGGAGACCTCTTCTTTCTTCCACCTTCAGCACTTTGCGTTTCCTTTATTAGACTATACACTGCTTTTCTTCAAAAATAGGCTGCCCTTATTGTGGTGCTACAGATGTTACTGGAGTTACCCTAGAATTTTTTAAAACTGTGCTGTGAGATACCAGGTGCCTTCTGATCTCCAGCTTTAGTTTTTAGATTACTGCCACATATCATCAAAGATCCAGTAAGCATACTGGACTCTTGGTGCCTCTTCTGAAATATTTAATTGGAGAGAAGGCTGGCTTTTAACATTGTAGTTTAATGTGCAAGCAGTTACTGGACTGATATAATTGTGTTGACAGAGGATGTTGCTTGTTTATATGGGTTTTTATGTTTAAGAAAAAATTTCACAAGTACAAGCCCTGGATTTTACATCTTATATAATTTGTGACTTTCTGATATGGAAGTAGCTATAATGGAATAAAGCACCTATATGTCATGTCTAAGTCTATCTGTGCTAGGAGGCTTGCACTGTTTTCAGCTCCACTGGGGTAGAGCTACAGTTAACTTCACAAGACATGCCCCAAGAGGAGGCTGATCGTTAGAGTGCAAAGAACATGATCCAGTGAAAAATGAAATGAAGTTTAAGGGGTCAAAGGAGGACGTAGTTAACAGGTATGAAAGACAAAGTGAAGCAGCAAGGTATGTTAATGAATCAGAAGTGCAATAGCAGAATTCAGAAGAGCAAAATATTAATTTAGCCATGACAGTCCTAGCACTCTTCTAGAAAATACGCCACCTGGCCTGTATTTTTTGGCATTCGAACTTATTGAAGTAGTTTGTTTAGGAATGGCTGCAGGGTTTGTTTTTAGTGTTCAGGTATGCAGAGTGTAGAACTAGCCTTGATGTAGAGCGTAATTGATAGATATGTGATGGTTTTCCAAGGAAAGAAGACTTACCTAATTTCTGCCTCTAAACCACCGCCGCCTTTAACTCATTCCCTGCTTTCAGCTAAATTTGGCAGAAGAGCAGAGATTTGGAAGACACATGTCATTGCCACAAGTTTTGGAATAAAGAAATATTGTCCAGGTAGAAAAGACACACCCAAATTAATATTCCCTCCCTTACCCCTGCTGAGGAAGATGCAGATAGATTTGAATTTCTTGACTTTCTAGAGGTAATTGACCTGCTTGTATTAGCCGTCAGAGGAGATCAATGATATAACACAAGGAGAAGTAATTTTTGGAGCTGGAAGAGTAAGAGCCATTGCAGGGGAGACTGCTAAGAAATGTAGGAGAACCGTGGGAGAATGAGGCCCCCAGGATTGTTAAGAGTATGGAAGCTGTGATACACATGTGACATGGGCTGTTTACAGGGCAACTTTTTCTTCCATGCCTGATCCCTGAGGCAGCACAGTTCTGTGGAGTGTGTGATAATAAAGAATGAGTATTTGGGTTTCATAAATAAAACCAACTTTGGGGATTCCTGCCATTTAAATGTTTCTTAAAACAAAATAAGGAACAAAGGCGAAATTATAATTGGAGATCAAACCACTTAAAAACTAAAACTTAGTCATAGCTGGGAATCCCTGTCTTTTAGGATTGTTTTTGTCTAGGATGCTGGATTTTCTTCATAAGTAACTAGACTGCAATGCATTGTAGTTTTGGATATGAGAAAAAGTAATTGCACTGTCATTGGCAGATATTTTAGGTTGTTTGTTATAAAATAAACAGGACAGTCTTCATCCAGTGCTATGGTAGGCATTAAATTCAATTGTCAAGGACTGGAAGAAACTTACTAATTACACCAACATTTTTAGTAACCCTTTTCATAGCTCTGTAGTATGTTGGGGTTTTTTTTCCTTGCCAATTTTGGCTGACATTTGTATGATGCTTAGCATGTTTAATTAATCACTAATGTTATGCTCTCTTTTGAAGTAGACAATATGGAAAGTAGGAAAGATATGAGTAGAATGAAATATATATAATAATAAACAGGAAGCATGTTACTCGTTTAAGACTTCCTTTTTTAAGGCATCTGATTTATCTGTTGGATATATTTGTTGCAACTTAGATTTTGTAGGGGGACATTTCTATATATAAATTGTAATATATACAATGCACATGCTGTATAATATGCAAATATTCTTGATAACCTTTTTTGAAAGGTTATTTTTCTAATGAGCGGAGTACAAGATAAAAATGGAAGAGTTTCTAAAATATTAAAAAGATATAATTTCATTTAAAATCAGAACTGCAATACTTTATGGTTATTGTGAAGCTTCTTAAAAAATATTTCATATAATACACTGTATTCTTACTCACTATCTGAATGCAACATTGCATATCGTAATTATTCTGTAAAATCTGGCTTTCCAGACTAAGTAGTTGAGAATATCTGAAGTTAGGCTTTTCAGAGGCAATGCTTCTGCTTTACATGGAACAAAAGCGAGGCAGGAGTTATATCAGGCAGATGTAAATGATTAGATGATGATTATGTATTTTTATTATGATGATGCTTTTACTCATGATATGTTTCACCATATGTGGCCAGACAACTCACTGAGGTTTATCCAGCTTTGATTTGAGCAAACTATCTGAAAGATTTAGGGATGATGTATTACAAAAAAAGCTTTGTTCTCTTGCAAAAATAGGTGTATGAAGCTTTTGAAACTGCAATCTAACAAAAATATTGAGGGGGTTGTAAAAATAAGTCTCCATCTCCAGTTCTAAACACGATCAAACGTATATTACAATGGTCTCGGTTACTGTCCAGCATTGGAGTTGCCTTATTCTCTGTTCATGCATTTTTCAGTATGCCTGAGTTGGGGGCCCAAAAGTGCTGACCTGACCTCAATGAAAGTGTTTTAAAGTTAATACTAGCAACTGATGTGAGTTTAGAGCCTAGGCATGAGCGGCTCTGGCAGTTCAGTGGCTAGTATCTTACCAATTACCTCCCATAATTTGATTTTGTTCAGTTGCTTGCCTGTTACCTTAGGAAAGGGACCTGCTGTCTTTGTAAAGTGAGAGTGCGCACCAGTTTTTATGTGAATAATGGCCTCAAGTTGCGCCAGGGGAGGTTTAGATTGGACATGCGGAAAAATTTCTTTACTGAAAGAGTGGTTAAACATTGGAACAGGCTGCCCAGGGAAGTGGTTGAGTCCCCATCCCTGGAAGTATTTAAAAGACGTGTAGATGAGGCACTTAGGGACATGGTTTAGTGGGCATGGTGGTGTTGGGTTGACGGTTGGACTCAATGATCTTAGACGTCTTTCCCAACCTTAATGATTCTATGATTCTAATGATTTTGGCAATTAACAGCACGAAAACTGAGTGCTATTAATTTCCTAGGAGGGGTATAAAAATGGATTAATAAATCGGGGTTTTTTTTTTTTTTTTTTTACTAGGGAATAGTAATCTGGAGAAGCAACAAAAAAATGTAAGTTCCTGCAGAGTCAGGTTTCAAAAGACATTTCTAGTGTGTTGGATGATTAAAAAGGTGTCAAGTACAAATGTGTAGTTAAGCCACCAGCTATAGTATTGTGGCAAGTAATTCCCAAGAGAAGATGGGGGTTTTGCTGTTTTCTTTTAATACTCAGATTTCTAAGCTTGTCTTTTTGTGTCCAGGTAGTGATGGAGTAAGCTGTGATTATATTTATAATCATATGGTAATTTCTATTGATTCTCAATTCTTGAGCACATGGCTTTTATTATAGTTACTGAATCAATGGTTCCTGGAAATGCAAGCATGTATCTCATAAACTTTCTGTAAGCTGTCATTTATTCCTGTACTCTGTGTGCGTACATATATGTAAACATTTCCTTCAATGCTTTCTTTATGACAGTCATCTTCTCTACTGTTCCATGTGAATCTGCTCATTGATATTTTTTTCTTCAGAAAATTCAGATAACAAGATATTTTATGTTCTGTCCTGGAGAAATGCATTCAAAAACATACAGGTTTTTACAGTGAATAGAACTGAAGCTATTGTCTAGAAGATACATGACTGAGGCACAACTGAATAGTGCCTTAATGGCTGTAACACAGTTTCTAGCTGACTGTGAAATGAAGAGAAACTGTCAATTAACTGATGTTCAAATGAATTCTTAAACACAGAAACATTTAAAGCTGGAAGTAGAATTGAGAATGCCTGTTTCAACCAAATTTGAGGGGTCTCAAATATAGTGGTGAAATTGTTAGACTCTTTAGCAATATTGCTTCTTAGTGTTCATGTTTGTTTAATTTGGCAGGGGCAGCTAGGTTTCCTGTTTCCATTTAAAATGTGTTTGCTTCCTCACATTTACAAATTAAAAATGTGACCTTTTAGATTGCTGTTCATATGAATATTTCATTATCACTGTAATGTATGTATGGCTGTTTGTTTTTTATTTACATATTCTGTACGAATTTGTTCTCATTCAGTGCGTGGAACGTAATAAAGAACAAAATTCTTCTCATGCTGTCCACCATTTTAGGTGATCCCGGCTTTTCATATAGACCTTGCCACTTGGGTAAAAGGTGTTGGGGGGGTGTTGTAATTTTTAAAATTATTTTTTTAAAAGCATTTTATTTCCATCTTTCTAGCCCAGATTCCTTAGTTCTGATGGGTGAGGAGAGGCTCAAGAAGACCAAGCAAATCCTCATTGTAAGTTATAAAATACAGTTTCCTATCAGTTAGTATTGGCAAAGCAAAGCCTGCAACATGTTGGCAGGACAGGCTGTTAGGTATGCTCATGATTAAAGTTGCACCTCACTTTTCAGTTTTTAAATTAGCAACTTGACGAGAAATATTTAATTCTGATGTCACATTTGGTAGCTTTTTCCAAAGTAGAACTGTGTTGAGCGCTTCTGTGCGTTGCACGCAACTGTATGTTAGTTGGGTGTGGTAAATAAAATATATGTAAATATTAACTGTTTTCTAATTACTTCAGTTATTGGTGAAATGACTGTCTTAATGTTTTTTTTATAATGTTGTAGGTGGCCTAAGTGTACTTTTTCCCAATGTATCCTGTATAGCTTTTTTGTCTGTATTTCTTCAGAATGGTGTTGTTTTACATGTACTAGACAGATAAGCATAACTTAATTTCTAGTTTATCATTTAACATCTGTAGTGCTTTTTCTGTACTTGCAATACTAGTCAACTTTAATGCACAATTCATACTCATTTGCAGGATTTTTTTAATTTTCCAGTGCAGTTGTATGCATTTGGAGGCACACTTCAGAAATCGGTTGTGACCTTTCTGTTTCTGAAACACTGTTAAATCGTGAAGAGTATAAGGGGGCTTCATCTGTTTATTTATGTTAGGAAAGTAAAATCGTCTTTCTTGAAGGTTTATCGACAATTTCCATGTACTGCCTTAAAACATGATATATTTTTCCCCGAAATGCCATTTTCCCATTGGATATAAGATGTTAGCAAAAACTACTGTTTTCAAGTTGACTGAATAATGAACTTTTCCTCATGTTTCATTTTTCATTCCTTTTTTCTATTTTTCCATGAGTAGGAAGTGCAGTCTGCCTGTTTAAGCATATTCAAATTGTTTTTTAGTATTCAAATAGAAATAGGTTGAAGAGAACAAATAGAAACGGTGCAAACAACTTACCCAAAAAATGTAGTAAACTTTTAAAAAGCACCATCTATACTATAATGAAGAGAAATCTTACCAATTATGTAGAGTACTGTGTTTTTAAAATGTAGCACCAATACTCCTGATAACTTTTGCAGTTAAGTGAAACATAATGTTTCTTTTTATCAGAAGTTTTGGAAATGAAATGTTGCAAAGTGTTAGTACAGCTGGGTGGTTCTGACTAAAATATTATGAGCTCTGCTCTTTTGCTGGCCTGGTAAGTGATACTGGTCACATCAGCTTACCTTTCTGTGACATAGTTTTAGTTCTATAAAATGCATGATTTTGTTATCTTTCCTTTTGACAAAATCCACTGAGATTCATCAGTAGAAAGGCTTACACTACTCTCACATTTATGATACCAATTCTGAGAACTGTTCTGTGTATTTTATTTTATTATCACCATAAAGTAGAGACTCTTGAAATGGAATTGCCTTTTTTTTTTAAGGTGGGGGGCTGAAAAATAAAAGATCTGTAATTCATTTGTGGGAGGGTCAAATCCTAAGCATTTATTTTTGTCATAGGGAGATTACATAAGGTATGAGGATCACATTATCCTTAATTTCCAAGCACTTAATCTATCAGAGAAGCTATTTAGGGGAAAAAAAAATCCAGTATTGTAGTATCATACATCATAGTAACCAGATGAATCGTTGATAATGTAAAATCACAATCATCAAAAAAAATAAAACCTCACTCAAAAACCTTTTTGACCAAAAATCCCAGCTTTCTTGAGAAAACATAATTCTGATGGCTCCAAAAGCAAGCACTCTACAATTTGATCCAGGAAGCAATTGTTTCTTAGTGCCCAAGACTTTCCCATGTTACTCGTGATCACGAAAAAGAATGCGTTATAGCCATTTAGCAGCTTGTGATCTGGCTCCTCATCTGCAAGTGTATTGGGTAAGGTCAGCAAGGAGTGCCACAAATGTATAAGAACAGGTCAGGCTGTAGTTTTGAGGGGCAGAGAACCTTTTAGTACGACTGTTTTTACCATAAGGGCTTATGAAATATTATTCTTACATTTTTTGCTGTTCTGAATGAGTAGTGATGGAGGCTTGGCATAGTGAAAATGAGATGGTTTCAGTGACTGTTGCCAATAATGCAAAGTTCTGATAAAGTTGTTACTTTTCCTGCTGATTACATCAAATAAATTGCTTTTGTCTACTGAATGTTTCTTTATTCCCCAAGGTTTGTACCATCAGATGAAAAGAAGAAACAAGGCTGTCAACGAGAAAATGAAACTCTAATACAGAGAAGGAAGGACCAGATGCAGCCTGGGGGAACTACAGTCAGCGTCACTGTACCTTATCGAGTAGTAGACCAACCTCTGAAACTTATGCCACAAGACTGGTAAAATAGATTTCCCCTTTATAAAATTTCTTAATCAGGAGAATGCAGAATTTGGAGGGGACCAGTAAAATTGCATACAAAGTTAAGATACAGATAAAAGAATGGATTTGATTGTTACCTGTATAGGAGTCTTTTCTTCAGGTGAAAATAATATGACACTAAACTGCTTAAAAGAAGCTTCTTAAGAAATCCAACACTCCACATTTTAACAGTACGAGCAGCACAACTATTTTTATTAGGTTTGCCTGAAATGTTCCAGAAATTCAAATAGGAATATTCATATGAGTTTTCCAGTTCATGATGCTGTAGCATGCGAGTCACTGAAACATGATCGGAGAGAAAATCCTCCTTTCTCGTCTGCTTTCTGAATGAGGTCTATTAGAAAGATACATTTGCAGGCCTTCAGCATCTGACATTCTAACTTTTTTAATAGTTTAAGAAATAAAAAACCCACATCAGACAGTAACTGAACTGTGGTTTCAGTAGCAAATCGGATTCATTGAATTGGATTCAATGATGGAAACCTACTTCTGAAGGGAGAGCCCCAGTTGGGGAAAGGGAATCATAGATAGCTTTTAAGAAAAAGCTGCAGATTGTTTTTTTTTTTTTTCTGTAGCCCATTCTTAAATGCTATGAAAAAACATTTCTCTTTGAGCAGGAAAATTCTGAAGAAGCATCTTTTTGTTATTTGGTGTAATGTATTAGGCAACATTTTTACTACTTCCTCACAAATGTGAGGATTTTAGATGTGCGCAGTGACATTTTTGATGGTTTTGTAACTTCCAAAGTGGATTTTAATGGAGAGGAATACTTTGAAAAGGTCCTGTTCCTAAATTAATTGTTCTCTGTATTGAGAACTTGAACTAATCAGAAATCCGTGGTTTTGAAATTCTAAATATCAAATAGCACTTAAAATATTTAATGATCAAACCTTTAAGAACCATCTAAAATGGTTCCTAAAGTGCTTCTGACCAAAGAGATGAAGTGGCGTGGGTTTTTTAGCTTGTTTTTATCCAAGGGAGAATCAGATATTAGTATCTAGAAATTAACATGTTGCCGCTGTTGGGTTTTTTTTTTTCCTGTTAGCCATTACAAAACATCATTTTAAATGGCAAAGCTTTAGCCTGTCTTTTAAAAAACAAAAAACCCCAAAACTCCACCTTGATTACCAAATCCCAAATGGAAAAGAATAGACTTTATGATGAATTAAATTTGGGGATTAAGGAGGTAATTATTTGTTATTGTAGGTAGAAACCATGGTTGGATGATGTAAATGTTCAAGAAAAAGGTAGACCATATGTGGGAGGACATTTATTCTCAAAGGTTTTTTTAAAATTTTATTAATGTAAAAGCTTCATCTTAATCATAAATTTATTTTCTTAGACCACAGGTAATGGTTACATATCCTTACAATATGTGATGCACTTTGCAACCGGAGGCAGAAATTTAGCAGCTGTCTCTTCTAATAATTTTTTAGAATAGAAGTTAACAGTATTCAGAATAAATTCAGAGTAAAGGCTTTTAAATTGATACATCTCAGTTTACAGTGTTATTCATAGAAGATTATCTCTAAAATGTTGGAGCACTTTTTAAAAGCAAAGTAATAATGACCAGAAATAAACACTGTTTGACTTCTTGTAAATGTAACATGAGAAACTGTGCTGCATTCTGCAAAGGGATGGAGCTAAAAGTCCAGAAAAATCACATGGAATTTTTTTTTTTTTTTGCTTAACAGAGAAAAAGCAGTCGTGCTGGAGGTGTGGTTGTTAAATGTGCTATACTGCTCTTACTAAAATAAGAAACTATGCTAAGGTATATTGCCTGTTTAAGCAAACATGTAATTTTAAATGTTCAAGGCCATCAACATCTCCATCTCTTTCTTTGTTCATAGGGATCGTGTGGTGGCAGTGTTTGTACAGGGTCCTGCTTGGCAGTTCAAAGGCTGGCCTTGGCTCTTGCCTGATGGATCACCTGTTGATATCTTTGCAAAAAGTAAGGGGGGTTGTTGTTTTGTTTTTAAGTGTTTGGAGGTTTGTTATTCTGTTTGGCGTTTTTTGTGGGGTTTTTATGCTTATGGCAAAGTACTGCCAAGTACTGCCAAAGTGCTGTTGGACTGGGATGGTTGAGAAGACAGGCGCTTAGGCTTTTGCACAGATGGCAAGTATTAATGTGCCCTCTGCAATTCTTTTGTTCTGACCTTGTGGAAGCTCACGGAGATTTTCTCAGAGTTGTTGTCTTTACAAGAGGTTCAGAAATAACTGGTGTATAAACTTACTTGCCAAGCTTCTAAAAAAAAAAATGTGAAAAGACAATGTGTATTATAACACTTCATAGATAACAGGTTTACAGGCTGTTTTCCGATGTCATTGCTACTTTGAACAGAGGATTAATCACCTAGTATTTTGCTAAGAAAGCTTTACAAATATGATCTGGTGTCTGACAAAAACTTGAAAGTTTAATGAGATACAAATACTTTTAAGTTGTAAGCTAGATGTTACTGCTGTTACTACTGGACAGGTTTTTTGAGTTATCACAATTATGCCCAGTATGCTTTGAGACACACTGCACTTTTCTCGCACGGTTCACTCTTCTGACTCTAAGGTGTGTGATAATATCTAAAGAAACTGTCAGATTCTGTTCTCTGTCGCTTCATTGTGAAGCTGCCTTAGAAAACAGACCTTTTTGTAGTGTCCAGTGGTTTCTGAGCTACAGATTTAAAAAAAAAAACAAACCAACACATACACACAAAAGCAAGACACAGTCTGTCATCTTCCAGTCAGTGTGATGAGGAAACAAGTTTGATCAGGTTTTATGTGTGCACATATTTGGTATGTGCAGTAGAAGCTGGAAAGAGAATGCTAGTTTGGTAAGGAGCAAAAAAACCAAAACAGTCAGATGGAAGGCTAGGGATGGTATTTGTGAACAAGAAAATAGAATGAGTTGCATAAGGGGGGGGTTTGAGAATGAACAGGGAGAGAGTGAAAGAGCCTGAAAGTCAACGTAAAAGTAAAAATACACCACAGGAAAGAGTTTAACAAGAGAGACTAATGAAAGAAGAAAATAACGCTTCAAAATGAAGATGTAGAGAAAACAGAAACTGTGAAAAGCAAACCCAAGAAAAATGCTGGTAACTGTATAAGGTCTAGCTAGTAGTTGCATGCTAGTTCCTATTAATTTTGACATTATGTATATATAAATGTGTAGAGGGCCATAGGAGTTGTGACATGCTTTGACATTTTTGAAGTCTTCGCTATGCCAAAAGATCAAAATCATAGCCTGTGTAGTTCAGTCTGAAGGTGTACAAATTCTTACATGTTTCAAGTGAAAGAAGGATATCTCTTCTTACTTGACTCATAAAGGTACATTGAAATGGACCTTTTTTAATTATAGAATACATTCCGTTGTTTCAAAGCGAGGTATTTTTAAAATATTTTCCTGATAAGAGTATCTCTGGGGCTTTTCCTAATGACTTTATTCACTCCTCAAAATAAAAACAGTGTAAATGGAGAGAGCACAGGCAACGTCAATCTGGTTGTATGTGTTTTCCTTTTCCTGAAGCTATTGCTTTGCCCGTATTTATAGTTTTCAATAGTCTTCATAAACGTGGTTTCTGGGATCTGCAACAGTTCATTATTCTATCTGCAGTTTGCGTTTCTTCATGTAAGTCACTGGGTCTGCAGTGATTAACAAATACTCAAAGCTTATTACTGTCATTTTGGAAAACAAGCAGGTAGCTTATCATAAAGAATTCCTCAGTAAAATCTGTATTGTACCAGAGCCTGTTAAACTGGTTTTATTTGTTCAATTGCTCTGTCACGTAGCATTTTGTTAGTTGAGTCTTTAAAATTGTTCCCCTTAGTTTTCTTTACACGTGGTCTGAGTGTTTAATGTTCACATAGCAAACAAGCTTATTTTTGCATCTGCAAGTGAATGTTTCAGATGAAATTTTGAATGATGTCACTTTAATGAACAAATATTTAATTTTGAATACCATTTTAAAGGTCTTGCTGCTAGAGCACATTAGTGCGCTTTAATACTGATTTGTTTCAGATTCAGAAGTGGATTGTCTTCTGCTCAATATCGTTTAACCTGAATGCAGAGGTTCTGTCAGGCGTTGATTAAGTTTTCTGTAAATGCATAGCCCCAGTATATCTTTATCTGCTTTGTCTGGAGTTATTTTAAAACATGCAACATTGTATGGCAAAGATAATGTATATGTATTCTTAGTTTTCATTCACAAAGCTTGGAAATTTATCTGGCAATGGTACAAGCCAGATGATCACTTCTTTAGTTTGTTAATTGAAAAAATGCTAATTTCAGATACTAATCTTCTAGAAAGCTTCTAGATATATAATTTTATAGATTGACCTGTATCTGGAAAAGGGGACTGATTTTATTTATTTATT